CCTGGGAAAGCTTCCTGGGAGAAGAGGGGAATTCGCTCCCTATGGCTGCCCTACCAACAGCGGCTCAAAAGATCCATTTATCCTGTTGCAGTTCTGGAAGTCAGAAATCCAAAATTGGATCTCCACAGGGCCGGATGTTCCTTCTGGAAGCTTCAGGGAACATCTGTTCCCTTGCGTCTTCCTGTTTCTAGAGGCTGCCTGCACTCCTTGGCTCAGGCCCCCTCCTGGCGTCACTGCAACCTCTTACTTCCATCGTCACATCTCCTACTCTGACTCTGATCTCCTGCCTCCCTCCTACAAGGACCCTTGTGATTACAATGGGCTCACCTGGATAATCTCCCTGTTTTAGTCCATTTGGGCTGCTATAACAAAACGCCACCTACTGGGTGGTTTATAAGCAAAAGAAATTGATTTCTCACGGTTCTGGGGGTTAGACATCCAAGATCACGATGCTGGCAGACTCAGTGTCTTGTGACAGCCCACTTCTTAGCTCATGAACTGCCGTCTTCTCTCTGTGTCCTCACATGGCAGAAGGGGTGAGGGCTCTCTCTCAGCCCTCCTTTATAGGGACACTAATCCCACTCACGAGGGCTCCGCCCTCCTGACCTAATCACTTCCCAAAGGCCCCAGCTCCTAACACCATCAACTTGGGGGCTAGGATTTCAATATATGAATTTTCAGGGGACACCTTCTGTCCATCGCACTCATCTCAAAATCCTTAACCTAATCATATCTGTAAAGTCCATTTTACCACATAAAGTAACATATTCACAGGTGTCCAGAAATTAGGACAAGGATGGCTTTAGGGGGCTATTAATCAGCCTACCATATGTGGTCGCACACACACACACATACGCCCCTACTATTTAAGTCCCCTACCAGAACAGAACTCTACAAGGCGGCACTTTTCATCAGCAGCGCAGAAATACCTGAAAAGGTGACTTGACCTCAGTTAGCAACCAATACAAAAGAGTATGCAATGCAAAACAGGAGAGAGTGTGACAAACGCAGGCGATTTTAATACACTTGTGCAAGTCCAAGCGAGCAGCTCTGGAGGAAGGCAGCTCCTCTCAGAGCTCTGTCAGCTCCGAGGCCTGATTTAACAGGCAGCCCGGGAGGAGGGGAAGCACAGAAGTGCAGCCTGCAGGAGGGGCAGTGAGAGGGGGGCCTTTACAATCTGACTGTACAACGTCTCCACTGCGGTTACAGCGCACAGCCCTCGTTAAAATGCGCCCAGGGCTACTTCAGGGATTACGATGAAAACCTCAGTCTTACAATATTTAAAATACCACTCTGATTCAGTCCTGTTCCAAGATAGCTGTCACAGCCCATTTTATTATTTTTTAAAGGAATAAAAGGAAACATGATGTTTTCCCTGGGGGCCAGGGAAAACAGCAGTCAGAAGTTAATTACACCAGATACGTAATTAAAGTCATACTGGTTAGAATCTAATTGTCTGCTGCCTGGATGGCCCCTTACATCATCACCATCATTTAAGCCCCTATCTGGCCCAAATGCAAGGAGTCTGCCCGCTCACCGATACTACAGAGGATCCCAGAACTGGGTCACCAAGGGTCTTGGTTAAGACAACCTCGCCCAGTTCCCCGTAACCACTTCCAGCCACTCTGTCTGGTCTCATCTTTGCCTCATCCTCCCCTCTCCAGATTAGACCCAGGATGCTTTCACCCTGAAGGGCCCAATAAAGCTTTTCCTAAAAATAACGTGCGCTGTCTCCACTTTTAGCAACAGAAGGCTCCAGGGGGACCTTGGGTTTTGCACATTTGTTTTCAGCCTCCCCAGATGAAGTCCAAGGCAAGGGCTACGGTCAGCATAGCTGTTCTCCCCCCCTCCTCCCCACAACAGTCTCTAAAGTCAGGTGGGACAGCGGAGACTCTGATCTCCAGGTGGAGCAAACCTCAGGGGTCAACGTTGAACCCCCCCATTCTATAGTAACTTCCCGAGTACTGGTTCCCCAAGCTCACACTCCCGGAGGGCAGCGTCTGTGCTTTATACATTCTGTCCCCTTCTGGCACTCAGCACTGGGCAGATGCTCATCATATAGTTCTTGCTTATTGAAATAGATTTCAGAAGACCCTGTAGGGACACAGGGCCTGTGTGTGTGTCCAGGCCTGCTCTCCAGTGCCCTGGGCTTTGCTCCCCAGGAGAACTGGGCCTGGCTGGAGGGCAGGATGCATGCCCTGGAATAACCTAGAACAACACAGAACAGGTTGGAGCAGGTAGGAGCCGAGGGCAGAGTTGGACCCTTCCACCCTTATCTGCTCCACATCTAATGTCGCAAGGGCTGTTTCCCAACCCGTGCAAGGGGTCAAGTTTGGAACATCACTAAGGTCTTGCCCCAGGGAAGGCCTGGAGGCCACAGGACACTGTGGGGAAGAGGGGGGGGCACAAGTGCTGGTCCCGTAGGCCCGGCTTTGATGTCAGCTCACTCAGGCTGCAAGTCTTACCTCTCGGGGCAATCCTCCACTAAAACACGGGAGCTGGGAATGTCTACCCGATGGGGTGCCACTGAGGTGGGAGAGCTCTGCTCCATCCGTAGAGAGTGCCAGAGGGAAGACTGGAGGAGATGGCTAAGGAAGGCGTCTCTCCCATGGCTTTCCTGGCAGAGGTCACTTTTCCTGCCTAGGATGCCCTACCCGAACCAGCAGGCACCCAGGCCCTTGCGCCAGGCATTGTTCATCAGCTAGCAGGCTGCCCCAGGCTGAGAAGGGTCCAGAGCTCTGGCTTGGTGGTACCATGTCATCCAGGTCAGCAAAGCTGGGCAGCCTCTGGGACAGCCCGTGCAGTTGTGTCCAGAGGTAGGCCTGGCTGGAAACAGAGAGGGGACTTCTCTCTTTCCATGGCCTGGCTGGAAGCCCTGGGTTGAACTTCTTGGAGTTGGGGGGAGGAGGAGGGAAGGGCACCTGGTGAACTGTCTTCAGCTGCTCTTCCTCTGGCACCAGCACCCCTCTGGGAGACTCACAAATGAACCTCCACTCCTTCCTCCCAAATACATACACACGGTGGGCACATGATCCAAGCCCAGCCAATCTCTCCCAGAGAATGTGAAGTTGGGAGGGTTTCTCATTTCACATCGAGTGGGCAGCTCCCTCTATGGCGTGGATTGTAAGGATGTGTCTGAGGCCAGGCCCCAGCTCCTTGGAGGCATCTGGGAGGACAAGGCCAGCCCCCAGAAGCCAAGACTCAGATGGAGTCCCTGAGGGTGAGGCCAGGTTGCCAGGTTCCCAGAGCTGACCTCCTTAGGTTATGTTAGCATATCCAGTCTTCTAAATCTTTTGTGCTTAAGCTAGTGAAAGTTCTGTTTCTGAAGGAGCCCCAGATGAAAACAAACTCCTTCTCCAGGAAGCAGGAGGGCCAACTTTGCCCCTTCCCTGGCTGCTGGCACCACCAGCTGCCTAAGGGGCGTGGGGCACTGGTTGAGGGCGAACCCCAGCTCTGCCACGTTGGGCAGACTGTGCCTCGGCTTCCTTGTCTTTAAAGTGGGCATAATAAAATACCCATTTGATGAGGCTGTTGTGAGGGCTACGTGAGTTAATAACCTCGTAAACCCTCAATGAGCCTCAGGTGAAGGCATGAGGCAGCCTCATGAAATGGAGCTAGAAAAGGTTTGATTTATCCACAATGGTGAGCTGTGGGCCATGGTGTGCTGCAGCCTGTTCTGTAGACAGCGCTCCTAAGTGAGTAAGACAAGTCCTCAAGCCATTCCAGTCCTACCTTCACCTGCTGTCTTGCTTCAAGGTCTTACTTTCTCTCGCCAGGTCTCCTGCAACAGCTGGAGTGTTCTGACCACCTGTTATGTGCCAGGATGGGGAACACACAGGGCAGAGGAGGGCCTGGGGAGCTGAGCTTAGGGAAATGGCAGTGAGTCTTGAGTACCAGGACTGGGGAAGCTCAGGGCTCCAGTGAAGTCACAGAGAGCACCTGCACCTCCCAGACTCTGGGGCCTCTCTCTGAGCAAGTGATGTCTAAGCTTAGGAAAACTCAGAAGTCAGCCGGGTGAAGGAGGAGGAAACCGTTCCCAAACAGAAGGGATACCACGAGTTGTGTTCTTCCCTGGGCCTCCTGACTCTGGTCTCCTCTCTGCCTGGCTCCCTTCCTACCAGCTCACTCAGGGCCAGAGCCTCGTTTAGAAAGAAAATCTGATACTGTCACTCCACTGTTTAAAACCTTCCAGTGGGGCTTCCGGAAACAACATGCTAACTCCTTGGCTCTTTCTTCCCGGTCCACGAGGTGAACCTCATCTTTTAGATGGCCCACTCCTCCAGGAGCCCTGCCCGACCCCCACAGAGCGCCTATTACCAGTCACATAGGGACGTAAGTGGACGAGGGAAGAATGCGTTCTCAACAAGCTAGCAATAGAACTATTTGAAACAGATTTTTAGGGTAAGGTGCTCACAAATGTGGAAGAGATGAAAGAGGAACAAAAACCATTAAGACAAGAACAGGAAAGGGCCACCCACTCCTCTGCGGCCTCGGCCGAAGCACCCCGGCGGTTAGTGGCTGTGTGCACGTCTGACCGCCCCGGCCTCCGCCCCCTACCCTTCAGGCTGTGGGGCGGCCCAGTCCTCTGCATCCTGGGCACTGTGCTGGGCACACAGCGGGCGCCCTATCCGCCGAGGCGGTCAGTGCCGGCCTGGCCGCTCCTCCAGGTCAGGCTGCACCGGGATCCTCCGAGCCGCAGGCCCAGGATCAGCTCGTAACCAAATGAATGGAGGCAGGAACGCGGCGGCGCCGCGGCGCGCAGGCTCTGGAACAGCTGGGGCGATCCCGCCCCCGGCCGCCACTCGCCAATCAGCGAGGGCCGCGAGGTCCGTGCCCGCCCCCGGCCGCGCTCTCTACCAATCAGCGAGCCCCGACCGGCCGGCCGCCCGCCCAACCCAGCAGCGGCCCGCACAGGACGCTGTTCGTGTGTCGGGCTCTGAATAAAGTTCTTCGGAGCTTTGAATTTTTTTTTTAAAGCGCCCGCTGCCGTCGCGGCTGCTGAGGGCGAGAGCCGCCGAGTCCCCGCCCCGCCACTTCCGGTCCCGCCGCCCGGAGCCGGTGCGGCTGTGAGGGGCTGCGTGTCGCCGCCGCCGCCGGCCGGCCGGGCATGGTGTTGGGCGCCGGGCCCGCCTCGCCTGTCTCAGGGTGCCCAGGTGAGGAGCGCGCGGCCCTGCGCGGGCGAGGGGCTCCCGCGGCGCCGGTGCACCGGGTGGGCGGAGGGCGGGCGGCGCGGGGGCCGCCTCAGGCCGCGCCGCTCCTCAGGGCCGGGCGCCGGCGGTCGAGGGGCGGGCGCCGCAGGGCGCGGGCCTGGGATGCGGGGCCGGGCGGACCGGGCCGGACGCTGCAGGGCGCGGGGACAGCCCGCCCCGAGACCGCCCGGGGTCGGGCGCGCGCGGCCTCGCGCCGCCGTCGCGGGGAGCTGCTGGCCGCATTGTCCGGAGGAAACGGAGCGCGAGCGCTGGCCCAAGGTCACCGCCCCGACGTGGCCGGAGGAAGCGGGCCTCGGACGCGGGCGGTCCGGCTCCGGGCTGCCTCGGGGTCAGGCTAGGCCGGGGAACGGGGAGGGCAAGGCGGGGGGAGGCGCCCTCCTCGCCGACCTGCCGGCAGCTCCCCCACGATGGGGGCCGGGGGGCACAGCTAGCTTGGAGGGGTTTGCTGGGCAGAGGGGAGGCGAGGGGGAGGACATGTTGGAACGATTCGTACTGCCGAGTCTTGGATTCTGGACCTGGTTCCGCGGGTGTGTCATCATGGGTGTGGCCCCCGTCTCCCTGGGGCTCAGTTTCCTCATCTGTCACATGAGGGGACTGGGCCCGCCCCTCTCTGCATTCCCTCCAGTGCTGAAGTGGGGTCGGGAAGGATTGGAGGGGCCGGAGACGGCTGCTTGGAGGGGATGTCGGAATCTGGATAGGATTCTGTTCTGCTAAGGAAGGAGTAGCGTTAGGTGGCAAAGGGAAGGAGGGCATTTCAGACCTGCATATCAGATTGAGCGGAACCTTCCAGAAATGAGCAGGATGTTGTTGAGGAACAGGGAGGCGGCCGGCCTGCCTACCTTGTGCAGAGGATTCTCGGCTGGGTCAGGGGATGGAGGCATGGGGAGGTGACCGGTGGGAGAGATGTACACAGAGAAATCACCACCAGGCTAGGTGGTGTGGGGCTTGAGGACCTCCACCCGGACATACTTGCCATTCAGGTAGTAGACAGTGCAGAAGGGGGCAGGTTTACTGCTGAAATTTAAAGGGCTGGACTCCAAAGGTCGGTCAACCAACAGGGGTGACTCCCGTGCGGGGTGGGAGGTCCCTGGGCCCCAGCATTCTGAAGGAGGAGGGTGGGGTGTGGACTTTTCTGTGTCCTGATCTGGGCCTTTTTGGCTGGAGAAGTTGGTTGTACCCTAGTGACCTGCAGTTGCATCTTTTACACTTCGCCAGGCAGAATTGTAAATGAGGAGTTCCCCATCCCATGAGCTGAGTGGTCCCTGGTGTCCCTGCACAGGTGACATGGCCTGATTTTGCCACTATAGGCAGGAATGCTGAGTAAATATTACTTCATATGATGAAACTAGTAAATAGCACATGCTTCTTTGAATGGTCTGAAAGCAAGTCCTACGCTGAAGAGGAACTTAACTGGGCCAATTACAACTTGAATTTACAGACTGAGCATGCTATTCAGTATAGCTGATCTGTTACTGAAAATGCTGCCACAGTCAGAGTGTAATTTGCAGTAAAGGGGAAGTTTAGTTTTAAAACAAGTCTTCAGAGGCCGGCCCCATGGCCGAGTGGTTAAGTTCCTGTGCTCTGCTTCGGCGGCCCGGGGTTTGCTGTTTTGGATCCTGGGCGTGGACCTACGTACTGCTCATCAAGCCGTGCCGTGGCGGCATCCCACGTAGAAGAACTAGAAGGACTTACAACTAGGGTATATAACTGTGTAGTGGGGTTTGGGGAGGAAAAAAAGGAAGATTGGCAACAGATGTTAGCTCAGGGCCAATCTTAAAAAAAAAAAAAACCGGTCTGCAAAGAGTAAAGCATATTAAAGAAGGGAAAGAGAATTCTGAAGCAACTGCAGGTGTTCAGCTGACCTCTTGACTCTTTGAATAATTATTTTCGTTCAGATCTCTTTCATAGAGTTAATTTAACAGCTATGAAACATTCCCAAATTAGGTCTTTGGTTTGTCCCTGAAATGGCATGTGATAATGGTACAGAGGACGGAGAAATACGTGGTCATTATATACTTGGGTTTTTTTAGAATGTTAGGGAAGTAAATTTTGTCTTCTGCGGAAAACAAAACAGCAGTGTTGTTTTCTTTTGTATCTTGCACGGTCAGTGCCCACTGTGTTTTATTAAGGGTCACACACTTGTTGAAAATTGTAAGCCAAGAGTCTGACTCTAAGTGGGATTGAGTATGGGGCATGTGCTGCCCACAGAGAACAATTCAATGTGGGGTAGGGGTACAGAGGAATTAAGCAGAGTCCTCAGACTGCAGCGACACAGAAGGACTGTCTTAGTGTGAGCCTTTCTTTGTGCCAGTGAGTCTTGCCAGGATCCTCTGAGCGGCTCCTTCCGTGCAGGTCCTCAGGGACCTGGGTGTGGACCGGGCACATGCCCTGGCACTCGCTTTTCCGTGGGGCTCTTTATTATGACTTTCCTAGGCTACTGCCTGCTGAACTTTCTTTATGGACACTGTGCTTTTATTTTATTGTTTGCCGTATTCGTATTGCCAAGGTCAGCTAGCTGATAAAAACCAAGTGGACTTTGTGTGGTGCATGTGGTGCTTCCAGCCGACCTCCCAAGCGATGGATGCGTATCTTGGCCCACCATCAGGCACTCCTGACTATGTGGTAGGACTGATGTGCTCCAGTCTGGGTGCAGGGCAGTGGACGTGGCTGGAAAGGGAAACATTTCTTTGTGATCCAGATCTGCTGAAGGGATTCCTGACAAGATCGTTCTTGGGGCATGGGCTGAGCAAGAGAGCCTGGCTCTAGATGGTGATGCTGTCTCTGATAGCTTGTGGGCTGGAGCCCCTACAGGTGTTCCTGACTGTGTGCCCAACCCCAGCATCTTCTCGTGAGGTTACTTCGTAAACTGGACCGATGATAGTTCCTTGCCCTGGGTACAGCTGAGCAGTGTGTTCATTGGTTACAGTTGCTGCCTCTGTGCAGGTCCGCCTGAGGAGATGGCATGGTAGAGGGGGATGGAGAAACTAGTGTTGGTTTGTTTTCACATTTTTGTCAGCTTTATTGAGGTATAATTGAAGTACACTAAACTGCACACATGTAAAGTATGCACTTTGGTCGGTCTTGATGTATGCATATACCCCTGAGACCATCGCCACACTCAAGATAAGATGTCCCATCATCTCCAGGAGGGAAACTAGTGTTTCTGCGGTGACCGCTTCCAGCAGCTGAGTGGCCTCAGACAACCCAGTTCCTGGGCCCCCATTGCCCTAGGGTCCACGTCCGCAAAAAAGAGTGGGAGTCGGGGTGGGGGTGGGGGCGGAGAAGTCCTTCCCAGATTTGAAACTCTAGGAGCTGTGAACACTGATGTGTAATAGAACTGTCTTTTGAAGGCTTTAGGCCAGCGATTCTTAAAGGGACTCAGTGTGTCTGTGTGTCTGCGTAAGTCACGCACAATTCAGGATGTTGTTGTCGTGGTACAAACAGAACATAATCTTACAGTCTTTGGGAAGATACATAGAAGATGGTGTGAGAAGCTGTGTAAGGCACCTGGTTTAAAAATGGTTGAAAGTACAATGAGGGTGGGGGATTCTTATATTTTGGCTTTCAAGATCTTGGCCTCAAACTGAAAGTTCTGTGCTTAGGTCAAGTTTTTCAACTGGAAGTTATTGATTGTTTTCTTTTGAAAGTGATCGGAGTGTATGAAAGGAAATGATAGTAAAGCAACAAAAGAAATTATGGAAATGTTGGACTGGGGACCAGTTTTCGTCCTCAATCAAAGAAGTTCCAGAATCCCTCTCCAACTGTGGTGAAGCCAGCAAGAAGTGCCAGGAGGCCTGTGAGATGAGTGGTGGTTTATGTTAGAAACAGGCGGATGGTAGAGGACAATTATGCCTGTAAAAACTCGTGACATTTCTTTAGCCCCCTCTCCCAAGTGGTCAGGTGCGTCACCTGTGTTTTCTCTTTATCATCCTGCCCAGCGAGCTTTCAGCGGGGTGAACCTGAAACACAGATGGGTTGGAAGCAGCCAGTGAAGAGAATCTAGTTTGGGGCATTAATTATAACTTAATCTTGATGCTGATATTGCCTAAAAATGTAAGAAAACAACATAAATGAATGAGAGGTTGCTCATTAAAGGAAGAAGGAAAGGAAAGAAAAGCATTGCGGGCTCCCTCCTGACCAGAGGCCGATGCTTCCTGCAGTCTGCGATGGGCCGGGCACTGGGGCCACACACACAGGTGCATGTCCCCACAGTGGGGAGGGGCAGACTTACTAGTGGGCGGTGGTGGGCTCACGTGGAATGTGTTGGCAGAGGCTCCCCCCTAGACCATGAGCTCAGAGGAGCTTTGTCACCACCACATCCCAGCGCCTCGCACGGGGCCGGGTGCCCAGGGAGTTTGTTAAATGCATGGCTCTCCCTTTTAAAGTTTTTATTCGTATTTTAAAACATAGACTTCTAGAGGGTGTCCTAGAGGTTACCCAAACTCATTATGAAGGAATCTAGTCTTACTAATGTACCTTATATGCTAAATTTTTCTACAGCTAAATTAAAGAAAAAAATTGAAAACCACCTCACATCATTGTCTTCAGTGTCCAGTCACTGTCTAGAGACGTGTCCTTAACCCTGCTTTCCATCTGTCTTTCAGGGTAAAGGTGGCAGTAATGCTGACGCTGGCAAGCAAGCTGAAGCGGGATGACGGTCTCAAAGGGTCCCGGACGTCAGCCACGGCCTCCGACTCCACTCGGAGGGTTTCTGTGAGAGACAGGCTGCTTGTTAAAGGTGACGGTCATCCACGCAAGTGGGTTTTATGTCCTATGACAAAAAGAAGTCTGACTGCAGGCTCTTTGGGGATATGAAGCAGTCTGTTGCTGAATAGAAATACCTGTTCGAAAGTATTTTAAAATGTAATTGCTTATCACTTACAATGGAAGGACTTTGTACTGTGCACACGCTGTGGGAATGCTAATGGAAAGAAAATGGTATTAAAACTGCGGTGTGTCTGATACACGTGGAATAGTCTCTGTAGGGGCTGCCAGAGTGCTAGTGGAAGGAATAAGGTACTGGGAGCCAGCAGGCCTCAGATTCTGGTCCCAGTGCAGTCGTGGGGGTTGGGAGGCGGGGGGTTCTTCCTTTCTCCTGGCCTCCTCAGCACCCTAGTGTGTGTCTGTAAAGGAAGGGAGTGGGATTTGGTCGTGTCTTAGGGTCCGGCTCTATTTTATTCAAGTCAGACTCTGAGGAGAGCCTTGTGTAAAATCAGTTCTAGTCACAGAATTGATAACAGGGAGTCCTAGAGCTGTAGGCTTTGGAGAGGGTTTATGTAATGTGTGTATGTGAATATGCACGTGTTTGTGTGCAACTTCCGCGTTCGTTCAGTGGACCAACTTAAAACCTTAAGGTGCAGAGGCAGTTTCCTAGAGTCATGAGGACTACAAAAGAGGACGATGAAGCAGCTCCTGCCTTTAAGGAGCTTATAATTTGCAGCATTTTATGCTTTATGATGTGTTTACATTTCCCAAGTGTAAGGAGCTGGGAAGCAAAGGAGGCTTCAGTAGTTTGTTAGAACTGCCCGTTTTCATGGTGTATCAAGTTGACACCATGGTGGTTACTGGCATTTGTCTGTCCTGAAATGGATGGAATGGCAGGAGACCTGGTGTATGAAGTCACTGTGTTGAAGCTTCTCGGAAACCAAGCACTGCCAGGCTTGGGAGGGAGTGGGAAGAGGAAGACATCGGGTTCTGGGGAGACTTCAAGGGTGCACTCTTCCTAGTTCTCCCACTGCCCCTGAATCTTGACTTAGCTCTGGCTTATCCAGCCTGATGGATGATTGGTTAGAGATGGAGCAAGAATCCTTTTTACATTTTGGCATTACCTACCGTGTTGGGGAGAGCATTAGATTGTGTTCGGAGTTTGTTACAGTGCTGAAAGTTTACTCTGGGGAGTCAGAGGGTGGGGCATAGCTGCAGCACCTCACGTCGGGGGCGTCCTTTAGGGCTTGTGTCTCTTTCCTAGATGCTGGCTCCGGGGTTCCATCTGCAGAGGAACCCAGGGGCCAAGCAAGCCAGGGAAAGGGTTTGAAGTGTGTTGCTATAGTCCTTTGAGTGGAGGGTGTTTAGTGCCTGGGGAGTTAAAGTGAGGAAGGTCCAGGCGTTAGCTGAAGGGGGAGCAGGTGGGAAGCTGGCAAAGAGACTGCTCCGTCTTATTTGCCATAGCCTCGTCCTGGTTAATAGCAGCTTGTACACTGAGCTCTTGGGGCCAGGCCCTCTGTCGGGCGCTTTATGGGGCAGTTCTCATTTGGCTTTTGTTATGCCTTGCCAGGTGGGTGCTTTGTTCTGCAGCTGAAGAACTGATACTCAGAGAGGTTCAGAAGCTTGCCCAGGTTGCAGCTTTATTGCAGCAGGACAGCCAGACCCACATACTGCGGTAGGGCAGGCACTTGGGGAGCAGACCCAGCAAGCACAAACCGAAGGAGCAGAACAGAAGTACAAGTCCACAGAAAAAGAGGATTCAGGGAGGCACAGCGGTCCTCCCACCCCTCTGGCCCTGCTCAAGGATTCACCTGGGAGCTCTCAGATGGCTCCAGGGCCTGACGCAGCCCAGGGCCGCCCACTGGGGCTCACAAAGCTGGACTCTGCCCCAGCTCGAGAACAGGAGATGTCTTTGGCTGGGTTTACAGGGCCCAGCTAAGGTCCTTTGGCCTTGTGAGACTCATCAAGGAAAGGTGCAGAACCACCTTGTGAGGCCCCCTGTTTCCATCCTCCCTGGGCCGCTGGTGATGGATCATGAGGTTTCTGGGGCCGAGAGCACTTACAGCTGGTGGCTGGCTGTGGGCAGCAGGGCTCCCTGTAACACTCCCCTCTTGTGGCCTGCTCCCTCTGTCTGCCTCAGGGGCTGCTAGGCTGAGTGAGCTGGCTGGCTGAGTGGTGGGTAGTTTGGGCTTGTGGTGGAGGGTGGGCCCGACCGGGAGGGGAGGCTATGGACAAGAGGTACCTGATGGAGAGTGCTCTGATGGCTGATGAGTGCTCGTCCGTTCCTAGGGCGCTCCTTTGCTAGGCTGTACGTGGCACCGGCCTTCATTCTGCGCGTTTCTGATGGTGGCAGTGGAGTCCAGGGCTTTTGTGGGGCAGGGGGAGGCATTTGAAGGGGTGATTATGATGAGAGTCCCTTCTAGACGAAACCCCCCTTTTGGGCCTTTGAGAAAAGCAGAGTGCCCGAGTTCAGCAAGATTGCTACAGTCAGGACTGTCATCTTGGACAGTGACTTTAACTCATGTGAGAATGCTCCTCATGGGGATCAGTAGGTTGTAGAAAAGTGTGTTAATGTGTCTTTGGGACTCAGTGCCATAGACAGACTTCCTGAGAGCAGGGAATTTGGCAGGCAGCATGGTTACTTAGGAGTATCCTGGGGACTGACACCTGTGGAGGGAGGTGAAGGAAGCAGGAGCAGCAGAGGGAGAAATCGAGCTTTGACAAACGCCCCCTGCCAGCCTCTGCTCGGAGCAGGCATGGCCCTTGAGAGCTGTCCCCAGTCAGGGAGATGCTCAGGGCTTCCTGCTCTGCATTGACCAGTCGTCAGATGGCAGCTGTCCTGCAAGGGGTGTGGCCTGAGGTGGGGGTCTCTGCCAGCCCTCATTGAGGGGGATCCAGGCTGTGCATCCTATAGCCCAAAGGAAAAACTACAGAGACTTACAAGCAAATGTATTTTATGTATATGTATTTTAGCATATGTATTTTAACTGGTCAGTTGCCATGCTTGACCTTACATGGTGAGGGATCTGGCTTGGTGCAGATGGCTGTAGGGTTGAGCTGATGGATGGAGGAGATTGGAGGTTGGCAGGGACAGTTGTCGCTAGTGGGCAGGGCCAGTAGGTTGCACAGCTGAAGCTCCTGTTCTTTTTCTTGGAATTGTGGGCCCAGTTCTGAAGGGTGACAGAAGGCTGGAGCCAGCCCTCCCTGGAAAGCCTGTAGCCTGCCTTGGAGCAGCTGGCCGTGGGGGGCCCCTCTACCATCCTGGCACCGTGGCCACACTGGCTTTTCAATTGCACCCCTAGGGTAGTTCTCAAGGACACCCTCCAGGCTGAAGGGGAGAGATGCTTGTAGCCGCAGTCCCTGGAGGCTGTAGAACAATTGAGTGTTTCTGGGCTAGGATTTGGCTGCTGTCTGCCCTGAGTCCTGGGAGCTGGAGACACTGGGGAGAGAGAGTGTCAGATCTGTGCATTTCCTGTTGGCCCTGACTCAGGTCTGGGCTTGACCGGGGAGCCATCACCATTGTTTGCAGCCACAGGGCAGAGGGCACTGCTCTTCTGGTGGACCTTTGTGGTGGCTGTGAGTCTTATAGTGCTCCCTACTTCCCAGAAAAGCCCTCAGGGCAGAATTACTTTCTTGTTTATCAGAAGCTTAGTACTTTTCAGATAGCGGGAACATGTCTGTTTCCCTGTTCTTTCAGTTGTTCACTCAACAAACATTTTAGTGCCTGCTGTGTGCCAGCCTACTATTAGTACCCCCAAAGACCTCAAGGGACCCCAAGCAGGCTGGCAGGAACCTTTTGCCTGTTTTTGTTAAATGTGGAGATTTGGAATTGAGCTGACTGAGTTTGGGGTCAGGTCTGGAATGTGGGCAATGGAGGAAATGAATCTGTGTGCAGCCTTTGTCCATAGCAGTCCCTGCACCCCAGGTGGTTCCTGGCCTTCTCTCCTTTTAGCAGGTGGCTTCTGGGCCTGGGGCTGTGGTGTGAGCTCTCTGTGCTCTGAGCCTCCTCTCCAAAATGGAGAGGGCTGGCTGCTCACCTGCACTTGCTTCCCAGCATCCAGGGGGCCACGTGGGGCCTCCCTCGGTCGAGCCTTCTGTGTCCACACTAGCACTTTGGTCATGTGACGGTATAGGAAGGGCCCCATTCCAGTGCGGTTCCTGGAAGAGTGAGAGAAAGAGAACATTTATTGTTCTCCAGAGCTGCTCCCTCCACGCTAGGCCTTGCCCAGGGCTCCGGGGCTGGGCTCGGGGTTTGGTTTGCCATGTTAGCAGGATATTTAGAGCATTTAGCAGCGTGTGAAGCTGGGTTACACGCCACTACGTATTTTAAAGACTAGAGCGGTGGCCCAGAGAGGAGGAGTCCTGCTCACGTGGAGCTAAGGCAGCTGGCCCCAAGGCTAACCTTTAAATGCTTTGTTGAGGGTTAAATACCAGTGAAGCTGCCCAGGGAACTTGGCGGTCCCCTCAGGTGTACCCAGTAGCCCAGTGGGCCAAGAAGGGTCTGCAGAAGACAAACAAGGGCCCAAGTCAGCCTTATCTGCTCGTGTTGAAAGTGGGTGGTATGAAGCCTTGGGGCTCCATTCCCATCGCTACCAGTCTCTGCTGCAGGGGGTTACGGCCTCACTCCCCCAGAGTGCAGAGGGGACCATATGTACTCTGGGCCTGCACTCTGCAGTCTGCTGCTGGAGGCCCTTAGACTGAGTGGAAGGGCTGACATGGGACTCTAGCAGTGCTGTCTCTGGAGGGACTGATGCCCTTGGGTCAAGTGTCTCCCAGGTAAGGGCACTGTGCATGGATGCTGGGAGTGCAGAAGAGAAGCTCGGTGCATGAAGACAACAGGAAGCTAAGAGATGAAGTTCTGGTTCCACAAATCTAAGAGGGTAGTGGTTTGGGTGGAAGGAGCTAATCAAGTCTCCTGGGAAGTAGCTGCTGTCTCTACCTGGGTCAAAGGGCACAGCTGCTCTGCCTGATGGGCCTTGGACCTGACTCTTGCTAAGAATCATCTGCGCCTGTGTTTGGCCTTTTGTCTTAGCTCAGGTACCATAACAAAGTACCTTAGATATGGTGGCTTAAACAACAGACATGTGTCTCTCCTGGTTCTGGAGGCTGGGAAGTCCAAGATCAAGGCACCAGCAGATTCAGTTCCTGGTGAGATCCCTCTTCCTGGCCTGCAGGCACCTGCTGTCTCTTCTCATAAGGGCTCTAATCCCATCATGAGGGCCCCACCCTCATGACTTCATCTAACCCTAATTACCTCCCAAAGGCCCCAGCTCCTAATGCCATTGCATGGGGAGGGGGGTTGAGCTTCAACATATGAACTTTGCGGGGGACACAGTTCACTCCACAGCACCTTTGGAATGCCCCAGTCCCCAACTATACCAGGAGAAAGGCTCCTCATGTCTCAGGGCATTCACGTGGGAGCATTGCCACCTTGCTGGCAAGTGTGCCTTTTTGTTGAGTCAAGCACATCCTGAGCATCCCACATGTGCCAAGCTCAGGGCCAGGTCCTGAGGTCCCAGGGCTGTGTCACTGACAGCCACCGCGATGGAGAGCATGCAGGTTGGAGTGACAGGCAGTGCAGAAACAACTGGAGCACTGGGCTGTGAGCAGCCCACAAAAGAAAAGGGTGCGTCCATGCCATGGGGGGCCATTGTGGTAACCAAGTGGATTTTGCAATCTGATATTTCAGTTCAGTCATACTTCAAGTGGGCTCCGTGTTTTGATATTTAGTCAGAAAGGAAAAGAGTCTAATTTCTCAGAAGGAAGTTGTGCTGCCACGGAATTATGTAAGGTGCCAGGTGCCTCCCAGAAAGGCTGGGCCAGTGAGCGGTGGAGGTGTTAGCACCTTGGAACAGGCGAGATTTCTCAGTTTAAAAATATCTGAATCGCTCCTTACCTTACAGGTGGGGCTAGCGTCCTTCGGGCGGTAAGGTGATACAGGGAAGGGCCACTGCTTTGCCAAGAGGCCTCTCAAGCATGTGAAGCAATTCGCTTGTTTCTTTGGTCACAGTCATCTTGTACATGGGTTCTAAAGTGATAACGGTTGATGCTAGTGAATTATTATTTGCCATTGTTGGAAGTGTGGAGAAACTACTTGTCATTTGCGACAGCTCCCTGAGAGGAATGCGTGAGCATGTGTGGCTCATTTTATCTTCTGTATGGGGCTGAACTAAACTGCTGAGCGTCTTTATTGAAATACTTGTGCCCCCAGGATTGTATTCCTTGCCTGCACTGGCTCTTGGACCAAAAGCCTAGAGGTGGGGGTCATCACTGGACCGGCTCTGAGGGCTCTCCCTGGCCCTTGCCCACCTTCCTTGAGTGAGTTCCACTGAACGTGGAAGTGCAAGCACGCTCATCTTTGGAGTTTAATTTCTGGACTACAATGTGAAGTTATTAAATCTGTTGTGTGAATAGCTGTGTGTAGATGTTTTAGCATGGCAAAATAGCCTACAGCAGCTTTCTATACCTGGGGAGAGTAAAAAAATCCAGAGGCCCCGGCCCCACCTAGAACTTTTGGTGTCATTGGTCTGGATAGGGCTGGGGTGGCAGGATTAGCTTGGCAAGTACTAGATTGTAGTGATGATGCACAACTCCAAATTCTACTAAAAATCATTGAATTGTACATTTAAAGTGGGTCTATTTTGCAATATGTAAATTGTACCACACCAATGCTATTAAAAAAACAAAAACAAAAAAAAGCGGGCCAGCCCGGTGGCACAGCGGTTAAGTTCACATGTTCCACTTCAGTGGCCCGGGGTTCACCAGTTCCGATCCCAGGTGCAGACCTAGCACTGCTTGTCAAGCCATGCTGTGGCAGGCATCCCGCTTATAAAATAGAGGAAGATGGGCACGGTTGTTAGCTCAGGGCTAATCTTCCTCAAAAAAAAAAAAAAAAGAAAAAGCAAACAACTCCCCGGGTGATTGATGTGTAGCCAGGATGGAGAATCCCTGTCCTACAGTGAGGTGTCCTCCAGCCTGCGAGCCTTGTGCCTCCACACCCCCTCCCTGACGTGCAGAGGTCTGGTTCTGTTGCTCAGTCATCGTGATGCCCCTGGTCAGTGCCTCCTGCCCTCCTGTGCCCAGACCTCCCCTCTTCCTCAACCCCGCTGACCTCAGTGTCTTCTTAAACATTTCACTTCTGTTACATGGCCCCCCTTTCAAGTCCTCTGGGTATGTGTTTAATTTCACTGGGTTTTTATAAAGCTGGACAACCAGAGTTCTCACAACTGCGGGTAGGACAGGCCTGTAAGAGAAGGCCGGGTTCCAGTGGCCGTCATCAGTCTCCCAAAAGAAGGGCCTTCAAGGACAGTTTCTTGTAGATTCTTAGCAACAAAAAGTTAAATAGTATAATAAAAAATGTAAATAGTATTTATCTTAAAACATATAGTTTAATTATATGAATAACATTTATTTAAAAGTGATTATTATGAATAACTCATTTGATAAAATGTGTGCTTTTGTGATAAAATGAGTGCCCTGTGGGAGCCGGTGGAGCAGAGTGTGGCCCTTGGCTCCTTCCGTCGGAGGGCGTGGTGTGATCTGGGCAGAGGGCTCTGGTCCTCCTCAGCCCACCTCACCGCACTCTATAGTCTTTAGCAAATTCCCGCTCCGAGGAAGGGTGACAGTGCGCCAGTCGGAAAGACGAAACTGAAGATTGCTGTGGTCGTTATAAGAAGAATGATGGTGAACTTTTCATAGGATCATCATCATTTTGTTTTAAGTGACTATATTTTAATGTAGCAAAACCCAAGACTGCTGAGAAGACAGATTCCCAGGCTTGCATTTCATCACAAAACTTGTTCCTTTTCTAATCACAGCAAAAGGGTGATTAACTGTTACTCCTCTCCCACGCCCGGCTCCACTGAAGAGACTGGCTCTTTTTCTCACGAGTGAGAACTCTCTGCCCGGCTAGAGCACTGGATAGGACGCCCTGGAACCAGGAGGGAGCATCCCAAGCTCCACTCTTCTGGGTGCCCATTCCAGACACCTGGACCCCAGAGCTAATACATTTAGTGGGCCCCCTGTCTCTACTCAGATTCTCAGTCAAATAGCTGATATCAAGGCCTGTGGCCTTCCTAACCCCTCAGCCTCAGAACAGAGCCATCTGCCAGTCTTCCCACTAATGCACTCAGTGTTCAGCTTTGCAAACATTATGGTCTCTGTCATCCCCCTCCCCTCCCCTCCCCACCTCTCCCGACTTGACTTGCAGGAATTGTTACCTGCTGCTTTCTGTATTTTGACCACCAATTTGCTTCTTTTTTGTGTTTTTTTGTAATCTGGTTTCCATCTTTCCACTTGCTTTCATGCTGTTTTGAATGTCCTCAGCAGGGTCTGATCCACATCCGATGGCCTTGCCTTGGGCCAGTCTGTCCTCTCTTTACTGGGTCACTGTGTCCGTGTGTCTCGCTTACTCTTCTGCCTGTTTGTCATCGGTAACTTTCCCTGCTCCTTGTTCTCTGATTTCTGCTGAGGTTCTTCTTCTCACCAGCCTCTCCCCTTTGTCGGTCTCGTGATGTCAGGTGGCATCGCTCTGTAGGGGCTCCTCTGCCCTGGCCGTGGTCGTGCACCCAGACCTCAACTTCCTCCTCCCGGGACATCAGCCCTCCGTGCCGTCTCTGACCCCTCCTGCCCCACACAGTTGGCAGATCTTCCATCCTCTTTGCTCTCAGGCACCCTCACTCTGCCTGCCTTTGCTGGGCCCTCACTGCCTAGCAGAGTGCCCACCTCAGGTTGTCTGCCTACGCTTTGCCCTTTCTGAAGTTGTCCTCTTGAGGCAAAGCTTAGAAAGTTGTTCAGAAATCTCGCTCAGCTCTCTATTGCTGCAGAATGAAGTTTAGAATTCTGCACCGTGTAGTCAGGGTCCTGCTCAATCCTGACTGGTTTTCGACCTTGTTTCCCATTGCTCTCTGGTTGTCTTTGTACCCATTGCTCTGGCTGAACAGGATGCCTCTGGTTTCTGTGCTTGTCTGTGTTCTGTGCTTTTGTGCATTGCTAACTTATCTCCTTGGAATACCTTTTTATCCACCTCTGCAGGACTGTTCTACCTGTTCGTTAAAGCCCAGCTCAAAAACTTCTCCTTCCTTTAGTCTCCACAGCTGGAGAGAATCTGCATGCTCCGAGGACCCCAGAGCACATTACGTTGTTGAGGCACAGGCAACATGCCTGCCCAGTTATTTCTGGGTCTCCCCCACCCCCAGGCCTCAGCTCTTGAATAGCAAGATTGAGGGGGGTTTGTAGCTGTGTTCTGGCAGAGGGGTGCTGGCCGTCAGTGCTCAATTAGTGACTAATAGAAGAGGCCCCAGAGAGCGCTAGGAGCAAGGAATGTAGCTCAGAGGAGGTGACTCCCTTGGGTAGTTAGCAATGCCCACAGATGGCAAAGGGCAAGGGTTTAGGCCCAGCAGAGGTCGAGAGTTTCCTCTCACTGGAAAAGTTTGAGCCCAAACTGGGCGAGCCCTCACCAGAAGACAGATCTGGAAAAACTGGAGGAGATACAAGGCGTATATATAAATCAAATTTTGAGGGCAGGAGTTCCACTCCTTGAGGGAACAAGATTTTCAGAAACAGTAGTGACTGTTTACGTATAGGTAATTGCCATGTTAATTTTAAATGACTTTCATTCATACTGAGTTTTCAAGGGCCCTTGACTGTACTGGTTGGCATCCTACAAGTCACTTTGTGTATTTGAAAGCAACGTCATGGCTTAAAGTCTAAACTTTAGACCAAGTGTAGGTTTCAGTTAATTCGGTTTATTTATTATTATTTTTCCTCAGTGTTCTGGGGGAAATTACCAGTTTAGAGCTGGTGATTTTATGTGGAGTAGTTGACTAATATTAACAGTAATCTCTTTGTTTCCACAGAGGTTGCAGAACTTGAAGCTAATTTACCTTGTAAGTATAACATCCCCAATCGAACATTAAGTGCTATAAAATAATTGCATGGAGAAGCTTGTTTTATATTTTAATAATCTTGCATCACAAAAAGCCTATTTTTCACGTATGTTAGGAACACATTTTACTTTTGTGCAAACAAGTACAGCCCTTTTCAAGGCTCCTGTGAGGAGGAGGCGTGGACCATGTCTGGGTGTCACGCAGCAGTGCCTCCTCTCTCCTTGCTGTGGCAGGGGTGTGTCGGCTAGGTTTTGTGTCTCTTCCTCAGCATTCTGTATCCCGCTCTCTTTGAGTGAAAAGTATATAAATCAGTGATGGACAGTCTTGTTTTTATTAGTGACAGAACCACCTTTTTGGTCCCGAAAGTGCTGATTTGTAATTGTCTTTGTGCGTGAGGTGGGATGACCATATGCCTTTCTGTCACCAGTGCGCCTCTCCTTGCTTGGTCCTCCCGCTCAGACACACACAGACCAACTGTGCTGTCCTCGGTGGGCACGCTCGCTTACTAGGCACTTCTCTCATGTGATGTGTCAAAGTTTCTTATTTCTTTTTTCTATCGTTAATCCCTTCCCAAACCCTTTATTTTATAAGACCCTCAAAGTCTGAAAGCTTTGGCCATTTTAGTATTCTTTTGTTAGAACGTTTTATCATACTTGGTTAAAAATAGTTCTGAGGCTGAGGATGTTTGTCGATGTGGGTGAAATATTTTATACATGGGTCTCCTGGTCTGGGCGAAGCCTACAGAGAGCTTGGTGTGGAGGCCCAGCTCACATAGGGTAAGAGAGGGCCCGTTCCAACCTCCACCTAAAGTTGGAAAGATAATTGTGGGGTGCAGCCTTTCAGTGGTTGTGAAATCCATTTGTGAGGGTAAGTACATACTGTTTCTTGAAAAACTATTTTTAATATATAGTATTTATATATAGCTATAGTGGGTTGTGATATAAAATATGTTTTAGTGTGAGTCTAAGTTAAAACTGTCTTAAGTCACTGGATTGTTTGACCTCAAAGTTTTCTTCTAGTCAGAAGGAAGTATCTTGGAATTCTATTAAAGGTTGTCTTTCTACCTACTGAAGTATTTACAGATGATTTACTTTAGAATGTTCCAGGAAAACAAACAATCGTGTTGTGTAGGATAGACGAAGGAGGATTGGCAAAATATTGAAGCTGAGTGTTGGGTTCATTATTCCTATTCTCTGCTTTTTTTAAAAAAAATTAAGTATATTAGGGGGCTGGCCCCGTGGCCGAGTGGTTAAGTTCGCGCGCTCCGCTGCAGGCGGCCCAGTGTTTCGTTGGTTCGAATCCTGGGCGCGGACATGGCACTGCTCGTCAAACCACGCTGAGGCAGCGTCCCACATGCCACAACTAGAAGGACCCACAACGAAGAATATACAACCATGTATGGGGGGGCTTTGGGGAGAAAAAGGAAATAAAATAAAATCTTTAAAAAAAAAAAAATTAAGTATATTAGGACGTTTTCCTGATAAAAAGTAAAATAAAGCGATCTTTCTATTTTCTACTTCCATCATACCTTCCCATCAGCCCCCAACTTGAACATATATAGACGTGTAGACATTTAATCAAAGACCACAAAAAACTTCCCCCTTACACAGTTTATTTGTCCTTGAATAAGAATCTAATCCATAGAGTGTAGCTTTCGCTTCATCTAAAAATTTGGTTTAAAAACGCTAAAATTTATAATTGGCTTTCAAAACAGGATTTTAACTGAATACCTTAGGTTTGAAAAAGGCATGACACATCTTCCTAGCCCTTACGGCTAAGTGTCAGGTTAAAAGGATGACACACCTGCTATATGTATATATGTGTGTACATGCCACATGCTATGTACCTTTTCTTTTCTCTCTCCCTTTCCTCTCCCCCAGCCAAAGTGGAGGGAAATCTAAATCAGTTTTTACAAGTAAGCCAAACTTTCCAGAAGTATGCAACTCATTATTCTAAAGAGGAAACAAGAAGCCACCTGAGAGTAAATCTTTACTGTCTGTTTAATAATCTTTCTAAAATATTTATTAAGGCAAATAAAATAACTTGCCATGAGGCAGTGGTGCTAAGTAATTATTCAGGGCTAGTTTGGAGCTCTGTACGTGCAAGTTTATAGAGGCTTCTCTGTTTGCAAAAAATAAAAAATATCTCTTTCAGATTGATGGAAACATGAGGATCTCAGCCCATGCCTACAGATCGAGGAGGAGCTTGACTCTTGTTTCACTAAAGCCCCTGCATTGAACTAAAACAAAAACCGGACTTTCAGCCTTTTGTTGTTGTCATTAGAACTTAGACCTTGTTGAGCTTTCAAATTTTGGGTTCTTTTCAGTAGTTTTATTGTTTTTTAGTCCACTTTGATATAATTTCTTTATTCTTAGTGGGCCAGTCTAGTTTAGAGGGATTGATTTCTGCCTCTGGGCCTTTAATAAAACAAAGGAGAATGCTAGATATTAGAAACAAATGGATGAGAAACAAATGAGTCCACTAATCAGTGAAAGATTTCCCAAGCCCTTGTCACATGTTTTTGTTATGTGTCTCACGAGAAAGATGGCCTTTATCTTTTCAAGGTAAGAGTAAGAAAAATGAAGCCCATTTAGATTATTCCATACACAGTTCAGATGTGTGATTTGAGCGAAAGTCTTGAACTCTTTGGCCCCACAGTTGTTTTTATTTCTAACATAAAGAATGTGACAATGTACTCTCTAAGACTCCTTCTTGCTCTTCTAGACTGAATTACCTTTCACTCTGCAATGATTTTGTGAGGGATTGGTTAAAAAAGAAAAAGGAAACCTTACTAACAGTTCTGCATTATTTGTATGTGGCATACCTAGCATATTCATGAAGTAATGAAACGAGGCATGGTACAGGGAAAAGAGTCAGGAACTAGTTTTTAATTTGGAAACTAAACTTCCTTCTGTTGATAACCTGTGTGATCTTGGTCTGGTCACCGAACCTCTCTGGTCCTTCGTGTCATCCCTCATGATTGAGGACAGTGGACTAGATACTCTCTAAGGCCATTTGCAAGTCTAAATTTGAATCGTACTATTTTTGATGAAAATTCATACCACTGTAAAACTAGGCAAATATTTTCAGTGGGGCTTGTAAGAAATAAAGTCAATAGGTGACCCAAGGAATTTAGCATGATATTTTCCAAGTTTATAAAATGTAGACAATTTCTACATATATTCCTTCCAAATTCCTTGGGTGTTTACCATTCTCCGTATCATTTGTTTGAAGGAGGCAAATGTAGAATGTAGCCAACTTGCCCTGTCTGCACCACTAGCCATAGCTCTTCTCCCAGTGGCAACTCCTTGTGCTGATCCAGACTCCTGGTGTGGTACAGGTGGGCACAGAGCGTTGCCCTTGAGACAGCAGAGCATTATCTCACCAACAGAGCAAGCCGAGTGACCGGTTGGATTTTGAAGATGTTAAAAAAAAAAAAGAATGCTGTGGTAACTGGTGGGAGCTAGCTTAGTTGGCACGCTTCTTTTTAACTTCCATTTGCTGTGATGGATATGAATGACTGTGGTGCTGGGTGAACAGACTAGAAGTTTGGCCTGGGTGTTTTTTCTGGTTTTTCCATGTTTAGTTAGCCTTTACCCAAATACAGTAATCTCCCTGAGGTATGATGTCTTCTTTCCAAAGTAAAGTACCATAATTCTTGAAATCAGTGGAAAGATCTCTAGTGTTAGTGACCATTTAAAGGTTGAAAGAAAACATCTCAATTTGGAATTAACTAGTAAAAGACAATGAGGAGGAAAACATGACAGAAATCACTGGTTTGCCATTTTAGCACATTGGCACGGTTATTATCAGACAGACAGCGAGGGGAGAGCACGGACCGAGTCTGTCCACTCCTCCCGCCACGTCCCCTTCACGGGGGCCTCCAGCTTGGCCTCCACGTGAGGACTGCTGCTGCCTCTCAGACCTTCCTGATGTGCTGTTTCTTTTGCAGGTACATGTAAAGTGCATTTTCCTGATCCAAACAAGCTTCATTGCTTTCAGCTAACTGTAACCCCAGGTAATATTCTTACGTATTTAAGTGTTAAAGTGATTTTCAAACAGCAGATTTTAAAGACTGCCCAAATCTGTAATCTTTGGCTTGATTTGTCCTCTAACTTTCTGAAAGTTGTGACAGTAATGACCATTCCCTATGAAGACGAGATATGTGCTTTGTAGTCAAATAAAGCATGGAAAGTGAGTCTGAGGCATTCGGCATATACTCCAGTGACTAGGTACAGACTTGAAGCGCTGACGTGAGTGCCTGCCGAGGCCATTGCCGTGTGGTGAAGAGTGTGAGCTGAAGTCATAACTGGGATCAGATCCTGCTCCGCCATCTAGTAACAGTGTGACCATGGTTAAATTAATAATCTCTTAGCCACAGCCCACCTAGCTACAAAGTGGAGATCGAGTGGGACCTATCGAATGGGACAGTTGTGAGGGTTAAATAGCTAATGTGCATGAAGCTCTTCGGCCCCCTGTGAGTCTGGCACACGGAAGCAGGCAGCAGATTACCAGCTGCCCCTGTTGGGACTGATAAGTGTGTAAGCTCCAAGTGCTCCAGGAGGGTCAGTCACATAGTTCTCCTCAGTCAGATAGGAGGATGGACTTGGGTTTCTTTTAGTTACAGTGCAGCTCCAAGGTTCCAACACCTTGCAGCCCCGAGGCCTTTACATCAGGCAGTGGGCACCAGGCCATAGCCACTGGTGCAGCTGTGGGATGGGTGGGGAAGGAAGAAGGGAGGACAGGGGCGATAACAAGAGGGGAGGGGAGTGCTGGGAGGAAATAGAGGGTGTTATTTTATTTGGGGGAGGGAAAGGGAGTGAGAAACTGAGAATAATGAGTCACGAGCTAATTAAAAAGTGAGAGAATGCAGAATTTCAGTAGGTGATAATGGTCCCACGGATAAGCCCTGACATGGTCTCCCTGCAGGTAGGATGGGTATTTTGTGTTTTATAATAGCAGGAGAAATCCCGTTTTCAAAAACGTGCTTGAAAACTTTTAAAAATTCATTTAATCCCTGTGGTGGTTCTAAGATGGCTCTGGGACATATGCGTAAATTCTTCCTGGTGCCATTTCTGCTAAGATAAGCGAATGCTAGCATAGAATTAATACCAGAACACTGTCCTGAGAAATGGGGCGTTCCACACGCCTGACGTCGAGAGATAACTGAGCTCAGGACTTTAAAGTAAGAAATTATGAAAATTGATTCTTTGGCTGCTTTCATAAAACACATTGCACGTCCTGCTGTTTTTAGTGAAGAGTATTGAGCACACTTCGATGTTTCTTGATGACTCAAGGTCACCGTTACGAACGTCATTTATTATTACTGTTAGGCAGTACACGGTGTTTTCAGAAATTATTGTAGTGGTGAAGATTGGTTCTCTGTTTACTAAGTCGTCTCAGACTTGCGTGTTTGTAGTAAAAAGTATTTTCTTCCCTCTGCCTTTCCAGGACATTTTCAGTGGCTGTCAGGGATTCTGTTGCTCTGCCTGCTGCCCAGGCTTGGGCTTTGGGGTCCTTTTCAGCCACTCAGAGACCTTTGTTGATTTTGCCAGGCTTGTTACTGTCTTACATGAGTGAGTTAGTGTTTCTTTCTTTTTCTTTTCTTTTTTTAACTGAAATTTTTTCCTGAGTTACATGGATGTTGTGATTATTGAGAGTATGTGTATGACACCATCTTTGATGTTCTTGTTTATGTTCTTGAAAACAGAGCACAATTGTTTGTTACAGTTTTGGCATTCACTGTTCCATCAGATGAAAAGATAACTTATGTTTTACTGCCTTAGCATTTATATTTACAGTAAGTGCACCTCAGGGACATTATCATCACATTGAGCTGTGTGCTCAACATGCTCTTCAGACACTGTGTGTAGGCCCTTATTTTGTGTTGCCAGTGAGTCAGAAAGCTGATGTGGTTCCTGCTGTCGTTATTAAAGGAAGCATGGCAGACATCTGCCAACCCTCAAAACTTGCCTAATATCGTGGTTTTTTAGAAACTTTTTGGAGTCATGCTCTTCTTAGTATTGAAAAAAAAAAATTATAGAGATATGCCTAAGTAGTAGTTTTAACAGTGTGAAGCAGATGGTTTTGAAACTGGCTCATTTGCATCCGGTCATCCTGGGGTGAGTCTGAAAACTCACGTAATATGTAATAAGACCCAGGTATTTGGGTGGTCAAGGGAGGGTTGCCTCTGCATCTGAAGCTCACAGCTCTTTACCTGGCTCCTGGCAAGATGGTTCCTCTTCATACTCGATAATGTTTGCATGGTTTTGTTTGTTTTTGGAATGTCCCTTTTTTGGAAATAGATGTACTCTTCAGAGAAAAGATGGAAATATAATTTGGTCATAGAGGAACAGAACTGAATTTAGGGGGAAAATAAGTCTCCACATCACGTCACAAAACAAGAGAAAATACTAGGAAGTAAAATGAAACAAGACAAAGCAAAACCCTAAAGACGGGCTGGAATGCCCCCGGAGTCCTTGTTGAAGTTAGAGGGACAGTCTGGGGCCGGGTCATAGTTGCCAGCTGACTTGTGGGGTCCTCCCAGCCTGCCCCACTGTGACGTGGTGGTTTTTAGGCAGAGGGGACCATGGGCTTAAATAACAGCTTGTTTGTTTAATTTTAGTTTTTACTTTTTAAATAAATTATACTGAGGTATAAAATTACAAACAAAATGTACTAATTTCAACTTGACAGTTTAATTAGTTTTGAAATATGTATACACCTGTGTAACTACAACCCCAGTGTAAAGATATTTCCAGCACTCTTGAAGTTCCCTTCTGCCTCTTTGCGGTCAATTCCTCACCCCCTGCTGCCCACCCCAGATTCCTTTTGATTTCTATTGCCATCAATTAGTTTTGTCAGTTCTTGAATTTCATATAAATGGAATTTTATATATCTACTCTTTGTCTCTGGCTTCTTTCATGTAACGTTTCTAAATTTATACATGTGGTGTATCAACAGTCTGTTCCTTTTTATTTCATTTTCCTATTGATGGATATTTGAATTCTTTCCAGCTTTTAGCTATGGTAAATAAGATTGCTATTAGCATTTTCATACCATCCTCGTTACACTCATATTTTTCATTTCTCGTCACTTTCACTTGAGTGAAATTTCTGAGTCATGGGAAAGATATGTTTAACTTTTTAAGATACTTTCTAAGGTGGTTGTACCATACACTGACCAGAAACGTATGAGACGTTCCAGATGTTCTACAGACTTTTCAGTGTTTGGGTGTGAAATAGTATCTCTCTGTGGGTTAATTTGCATTTCCCCAATGCCGGGATTTTGATTGAGACTGTTAACTGTGGATCAGTTTGGCAAGAAATGACATCTTAACAGTATTGAGTCTCCCAATCCGTGAGCATGGGGAATGTCTCCGTTTATTTCGATCTTCTTTAGTTTCTCTCAGCAGTATTTTGTAGTTTTCAGTGTAAAGGTCTTACAAATACTTTGTTAATTATATTACTAAGTATTTCATGTTTTTTGAAGCTGTTGTACGTGGTATTTTTAAAATTCCCACTTTACTGTTACTAGTATATAAAAATACGGTAGAGTTTCTAGTATATTGATTGTGTCCTCTACCTTGCTAAATTCACTTAGTAAACTCTAGTGACTTTTTAATATATTTTTAGGATTCCATGTCCCTGATCCTGATATCTGTAAATACGTTTTTACTTGTTTCTCACCAGTATGTATGCCTTTAATTTCTTTTTCTTATTGCACTGGCTATGACCTCCAGTACAGTGTTGAACAGAAATAGTGAGAGTTTATGTCTTTGCCTTGTTCCTCATCCTAGGGGGGAAAGTGTTCATTATCCACTGAATGTGGTGTTAGCTGTTGGGTTTTTTTTTTTAACATATCCTTTATCAGGTTGAAGTTTCTTTGTTTTCCTGGTTTGTTGAGAGTTTTTATCATAAATACAAGTTTTATTTTGTTTTGTTTTTTTTGCTGCGGAAGATTTGCCCTGAGCTAACATCTGTTGCCAATCTTCCTTTTTTTTTTTTTGCTTGAGGAGGATTAGCCTTCAGCTAATATCTGTGACAATCCTCCTCTACTTTTTTTTTTTTGTTTTTGTATGTGGTATGCCTCTACAGCTTGGCTGATCAGTAGAGTAGGTCTGCACCCAGATCTGAACCGTAAACCTAGGCCACCCAAGTGGAGTGTGCAGAACTTTAACCACTCAGCCATGGGGCCAGCCCCACATACTTACTGATTTTTGAATGTTGTTGCATCGACCTTGTATTCCTGCAATAAACCACACTTGGTTATGATATATTATCTGTTTTTTATATTGCTGGATTCATTTGCTAATATTTTGTTACAGAATTTTGTGTCAGCATTCATGAAGAATGTTGGTTTGTATTTTCCTTTTCTTGTAATTTCTTTGTCTGATTTTGGCATCAGGATAATGCTGGCATGGTAGAATAAATGAAGAAGTGTTCCCTCCTGTTTTCTGAAGGAGTTTGTGTAGGATTGGTACTATTTCTTCCTTAAATATTTGATAGAATTTACCAGTTAAGCCATCTGGACCTGGAGTTTTCTTTTTGGGAAAGTTGTTATTTATGAATTCAGTTTATTTAATAGATACAGAATTATTTATCTGTTTTGTTAAGTCGGCTTTGATAATTTTTTTCTTTCAAGGAATTTGTTCACTTCACCTGAGTTTTAGAATTTATTGATATAAAAGTTGTTCAGAATATTCTCTTATTATTCTGCTAATGTCTGTAGGATCTGTGTTGATGCCCCCTTTTCTGTTCCTGATATTTGTAATTTGGGTCTTCTCTTTTCTCTTGATTGTGTTAGCTTGAGGTTTATCCAGTTGATCTTTGCAAAGAACTAGCTTTTGTTTTTCTCAGTTATTTGTCCATTTCATTGATCTCTGCTCTTATCTTTATTATTTCCTTCCTTGTACTTTGGGTTTAATTTGCTTTTCTTTTACCTTCATGGAAACTTGGATCATTGATTCAAAATAATTTTTTTTTAAAGCTATGTTGATTGAGGTCTAGGTTATATTCT